AAACAGAGTTTTGCTATGCAGCCCAAGGATAACCTGAACTCGAAATCCTCCTACCTCAACCTACTGTGTGAAATTACAGGTGTGCTCTGTCATGCCTATGCATGCATTTGCTCTTTAAATACAAATGAATTCAGATGAAATACATCTGAAATGTATTTCATTACTTCTTAGTCATGTTGGCTTGATCCTTTTGAATTAGAGATGCTTTGGTACCAAGAAATAGAAACTCAAAGTCAAAATATCTTAGACAACAAATGGGATTTACTGGTTCCCGTGTGTGAAAAGTTCAGACTTCTGGCCAGGCTGGGCCAGGCAGCTCTCGGTGTGGGCAGGACCCGATAGCTCCCTTGCCATTTCTTTGCTTTAGGCCCTGGTGAGGGCTCCATTCTGAACAGCTTCTGCTTTATGGTCCAACAACAGCATCCCAAACTCCGATAGCTCCACACTTCTGTTTATAATTCCAGGAGAGCATGTTGGCCCATCCTCCTCAGCAGAAATCTTGATCTTCTCTTTGGTCGACTGAACTTAGGTTATATCACCATACCTGACTCAGCTACTAAGGGATGCCATTCACTAACTAGCTTAGGCTAGACTATAGGCTCTGTAGCTTGAAGAAGCAGGTGGAGTCAGAACTCCATAGCCGCCACAAGAAGGTGCAGCTGGGATAGGAGGAACAACTTAGAGGGTAATTAGGCTGCATTTTTTTCTATCCAGATCATTGTTTTTAATAGAAAATGAAGTGTTCTGCCGAGACCCTCTTCATTCACCTGCTACCCCCCAATCCCTCCAGACCCCCATTAATTGCTCTTTTAGCTTCTGTAAAATGCTTGGCTGCTGCTTTAGGCATGCCTAGACATGCCCTGGCATGCCCTGACCCCCACCTGCTACCCTCCCCCTGTTGGAACCCCAGTTTGGGGTACCCAACGTCCATAGGAGTCCGCTCCCCAATAACTCAGTCCTCAGACCAGGAGATGCAACAAGCATGAGGATTTATTACATTTTGCAAAACGGACCCCTGCCTCACTCGGAGGGCAGAAGCCCAGAGCCCAGTTCACAGGCTTCTTTTAAAGACAAAGACCACAAACTAGAGAGAAAGCGGCAGTAACGTCACAAGCGGCAGCTATGTGCCAAGCAAAAAAGCGGAGGCTATGTGCCAAGCAGAGGTAGGGGGGATTTCTGGGATGATTTCCAGCTTTGGGCAAAGAGCATGAAAAAGGTCAGCTCAGCTTGTTCTTAGCATTCAGAATTATTTTTTTATTTTTACTTCCTTGTACAGTTCTTTGGCCTGAAGGACTTATTTCCTTGTCTTTAGCCTAGGGGGACTGAATTAGGGTCCTTCAATGTAAGCTTGTTAGATTTTTGAGATAGCCATAGAATTCACAAAATCAAAGGATAGTAACTAGAAGGAATAAGCAATAATTTGTACCTTGAATTATACTTGAGTAATTCACAAATATTTCCCTTTCCTTCTCCAGAAAATATGTTGTCAGTGACTCATGAATGCTCCTGAGCAGTACTTTAGTTCTTTTCTTAAACGTTTAATCTCTTCTGCTTTCTTCTCTCCTTGCGCCTTGAATTTCCAATGTAGTCATTTTACTCTTTTGATAACAAGTTTCTCTCATTTTTGCTATCTGATCTTTTCCATGTTAGCCAACCATACTTCCCCTTTACTGTAGTTATAATGAGATTAACAACACCTTCTCCATGAAAACTACTAGAAAACATCTGAATGAATTATTAGAACACAGAAACAAATGGCTATCAGGTATAATTTATGGGCATGCAATTGGGTGATTGAACTCTGCTTCACAGCATTTCTTCCCATGTTCCCATCTCAAGGCTGTCATAAAGGTTAGATTGAAAGTGATTAAGCTCAATACAATTTGCAGGCTCTGAAATTTTTACCCTTCAGACCTGGAACATGTCCTTGTGTCTTGATCATTTACTTTATGCAATAAAATGCCTGAGAAATGTAGAGGCTCCGTTCCTGACTTCATGGGTAGGTGTCTGGGCATATGCTGCAGATGCAATACAAACAACTATTTCATGGAAAATAAAACGCAATACCAAGCCTTTCAAATATATCTGTAGTATTAGTGACTTAAACCAACTGTAGTAATCGATTTTTTTGCTGTTAGCATTGTCTATAAATATAGAAAACATATCAGTTGAGTACAAATATATAGATGCATCTTAGCTCTGGAAATTGTTATTGAATATGTCAATGCTGTTGTAATGAAATGCTTCTTCTGATTGTGTGGTTATTAAATAAATAATTTAAAAAATATTCCCAATTGATGAGCAAAAACTGGTTTCTATAAAAGTATAGCAGATAATAATAAACACAGAAAGAATTAGCAAAATAACCACTTCACAACTCCTATGAACTGAGTCAGGTAAGGACACTGAAACATGGTGGCATATACCTGTAATCCCAGCACTCCATAAGCAGAGCCTGGTAACACGGGCATGATTTCAAAGCATTAGTCCATTAGTCCACTGTTCTTGTTCTCACAAAAGGGAAACAGTCCCCTTTTTCCATTTTTTTTAAGACAGGTCTCACTGCATAGTCCTGGAACTTGATATGGAGACCAGGCTGGCCTTGAACTCACAGTGATCCATGTGTTTCTGCCTCCCAAGTGCTGGGATTAAAGGCATGTGCCACTATGCCCAGTCCTTTTTTTTTTTTTTTTTTAAATACATTTCGAGTATTTTTATCTTCCCCATTTCTCGCAACCCTCCTCCTAGACCCCTCCTTTCTAGGATATATTCCTTTTGAATACTGCTGTGTGGACAGCGGTTACTTTTACTCATGCTTCTCAGCACATACAGAGAGACTTACAGACTTCTTTACATGATGCAGTATAAAGTATCACCTATGTTCTTCCTCAAAACGTTTAACCCAAACTTAATCCAATTAGCGGAATTGTAAGAATTAGAAAAGGACAGCAAAAGACAATCAGAAGGAAGCAATTCAACATTATGGGGATGAGAAGGAACAACTAAGTGACCTTAATCTCTCCAATAAATCAATGTTTAAAAAAATAAGGTGAGGTTAGGGAGATTAGATCCTATTCAACAGTCTTTTTAGTTGGTTTTTGGGGGAGCAGGGCGGTCTTGTTTGAGACAGGGTCTTCCAGGAGCCCCAGCTGGCCTAGAACTGGCTATGTAGACCACACTGGCCTCAATCTCAGACATCCACCTGCCACAGCCTCCCTATTGCTGGGATTAAAGGTGTGCACCTGTGAGTCTGAGTACAGGTGCCCGTGGAGGCCAGAAGAGGGCTTTGGATCCTCTGAAGCTGGAGTTAGAAGCTGCTGTTTGCTGCCTGACATGGGTGCAGGGAACTGAACTTGGGTCCTCTGCAAGAGCAGTTCTCACTCTCAGCTGCTAAGCCATCTACCTCTCCAGCCATGGCTTCTAGTCTAAATCTTGAGAGAATTAAGGGGCCTAGTAATGTAGAGCAGTTTCTAGACAACCCCAGGTGCTGTTCTTCAGATGCCCCCACTTTCTTTCTAAGTGCTTCTCACTGACCTGGAAGTCCCCAAGTAGACTAGGTGGGCTGGCCAGAGCCCCAACCATCTAACCCTCTCTGCCTGTCTCTACCTCCCCAGCCACCACACCTGCCCTCCACCCCTTTTAACTTGAGTTCTGAGGGTCAAACTCAGGTCTTCCTTTGTTTTTGTTTTCATCTTTTTGAGACACGGTCTCCCTGTAGCCCCAACTAAGCTGGAACTCACTATATAGACCAGGCTGGCCTTGAACTCACAGAGATCCGCCTGCCTCTGCTGGGAATAAAGGTGTGTGCCACCATGCCCGGCTCAAACTCAGGTCTTTGGAGTTCTTTCTCAAATGAGGTATCTCCCCAGCCCAGTTCATGACTTTGCTTGGACTTTGGTTTGGTGAAGCACTTTAAGAAAAAAAAATCACAGGGACTGTAGAGAATGGTTGCTCTTTCAAAGAGCCCAGGTTCAATTCCCAGCAAATGGCAGCTGACAATCATCCATAACAAAGTTTCAGGGGAATATGAAGCTCTCTTCTGACCTCCATGGGCATTGTATACATGTGGTGCACATACACTCACACATAAAATTAAAATAAAATAAAATAAACCATTATGGGGCTAGAGAGATGGCTCAGCAGTTAATAGAAACGTTGTGTGGCTGAAGAGATGGCCGATCTTGCAGATGCACTAGATTCCATTCCTAGCACCCACATGGCAGCTAACACACATCTGGAATTCCACTTCCAGGGGATCTGACACCCTCTTCTGGCCTCCAGGAGCACTGCACACTTGTGGTGTACTTAAGTGCATACACATGCACATACACTCATATACATTAATTTTTTTATTAAAAAAAGGACTTGTTACCCTTCAAGAGAACCAGAGTTTGGATCCCAGGACCCATGTCAGGTGGCTCACCTGTTACTCCACCTTCAGACATATGCCATTCTCTTCAGGCCTCTGTGAGCACAACACACTCGGCAGAAACACACATAGATATACACATAACATAAAATAAAATAAAATAGCTGGGCATGGTGGCGCACGCCTTTAATCCCAGCACTTGGGAGGCAGAGGCAGGCAGATCTCTGTGAATTCAAGGCCAGCCTGGTCTACGTAGTGAGTTCCAGGACAGCTGAGGCTACAGGGAGACCCTGTCTCAAAAAGACCAAAAATAAATAAATAAATAAAAAATAAAATCAAATAAAATAAATCTTTTTTTTTTTTTAATTGAGGGAAGGCTGAAGAAGTAGGTCAGTGGTAAGACATCCGCCTAGCATGTGTAAGACCCTGGAGTCAACCTCTAGCACTGGTGAACAAATAAAAACTTGAGAGACAACTAAGAAAGTGTTAAAATGAAGAATCAGATGATGTAAAGGAATTCTTAGTTAATTTTGCTATACTGATGACATAGTCACATACACTGAAGTTATAGCGACTGGTACCCTGATGTTTTGAGTACATATTTAAGTATCTAGAGATGAAATATACTGATATTTACATAATTTAAAATACTTTAAACAAAAAAATACAGAGAAACACTTAAAGTTAATATGTGGGTGTTATGGACTGAAATTTACATATTGAAATTCTAACCACCAATGAAATGGCAGCGGAAGTGGGGCCTTTGGAAGATAATGACGTTTAGGTCAGAGGAGAGGCCCCATGATGGAGTTAGTATCCTTTTAAGAGACAAACTTGCTTGGGGCTGGAGAGATGGCTCAGCGGTTAAGAGCACTGACTGTTCTTTCAGAGGACCCAGGTTCAATTCCCAGCACCCACATGGTGACTACGAACTGTCCTTAACTCCAGTTCCAGGGGAATCTGAAGGCCTCTTCTAACCTCCGCGGCGGGTGCACTCACATACATGCAGGCAATACACAAATACACATAAAATAAAAATAATAAAATATTTTTAAAAAAGAGAGACAAACTTGAGATTCCTCAAGAACAAGGGTTGGGTGTCAAGGAGACCTTTCCATACCATCTTCCCATTCCACACCTATGGTGGGTGGGATGGTTCACCAGAGACAAAGGATTATCAGTAGGGCTCGGACATAGCGGCCAAGGGAAGTGGGGTGTCTGTGTACAGTGGCGGGTTTCTGGGGGCCAGGGACAGTGAGGAGACAAGGCTGAGGGGGGCTATATTTAAACTCCCAGAGCCATTAAAAAGAAAAAAAAAGAAAAACCTGGGGGCTGGAGAAATGGTTCAGTGGTTAAGAACACTGGCTGTTCTTGCAGAAGACCCAGGTTCAAATCCAGCACTCACATGATGACTAACAACTGTCTGTAACTCCAGTTCCCAGATATCCGACACCCTCTTCTGACTTCCACAGGCATTGCTTGACACGGATGCACTTGCACACATGCAGGCAATACACGTATACACATAAAATAAAAATAATAAACAGAAATATTTTTCAAAAAGAAGACAAACTTGCTTTTCCACCCTGTGAACAAAGAAAGGCTATGAAACGGGGGAGGAATGCTAACTAGAACTCAGTCATGATCACAGTTCCCAGTTTCCAGAACCATAAATAAATGTCTGTTGTTTAAGTACCTAGTCTACAGCACTCTATTATAGGTCAAGCAACAGCTATTGTACTAGGCTCTAGAGTCCTGTGCGAGGAGGTCATCTTGACTTTAAAGAGGAGTAACTATCAGCATTATTCAGTATGACACCTACCTAGAAGACCTCATCCCTCACACCTCTGAACTGGATGATTCCTCCTCCCTCTGCTTTCTTCCACTTCACCCAGTCCAGTCTCCAGAGAAAAACGGCCACAGCACTGGCCTGTTCTTGGTTCTTTCATAGGACTCCACCAACTGCCTCATTAATGGGAAAACTACTGCGTGATGCACAAGGCTTTTCAAGACCTGCCTGACGCTAAGGGACACCTTACACGTAATTCACTCATCCAAAACTCAACAACCTTACAGGTAGGCACAGTTATCACCCCCTTTACCAATAAGTTAAGTAAAGGGAAGTTACGTGCCCCCGACCGTATCACTCACTATTAAGTAGTACAGCTTTACTTCATAATTTTGACAGACTCCAGGTAAGCCTGTAACTTAAACCTGCCACACTGCAAGGACTCAATGCTTGTTTTGATTTCTTTCCTCGGAGAGGTGGAGGGTGAGATGAGAGGTGCCACAGACCACTGTACCTAGCTGGGACCGGAACCTGCAGGGAAGGACGGCTACGCTGGGCTGAGGAACTGCGTGGAGAGCCAGCCCGGGCCGCATCCTCGCTGGGGACTCGAACCCGTGTCTCCAGCGGAGCCCTGCCGGGAGGGCCAGCCGGGGCCCACTCACCTCGTCTCGGCACTGCTTCTGGCACATCTGGCAATACCAGCGCAGCTTCTGGAGCCCTTTGGACTTGATCCTGTTGGCGATGGCCTTAGGGGTAAGAAAGTCGGACTTCCCCATGGCGACCGAGCGAGCGACTACCCTCCGGGGCAACTAGTTCCGCCAGCCGGAAGTGGAACTGGACCGGAGCTGGGTAGGCGGGACAAAAGCTGACAACCGGAAATAGGTGGGGCCTGGGAATCCGGGCTTCAACGCCCGCGAGACTTCGCGGGACTGAAGGCGCCAGCCAAGCGAGCGGGTGAGCGAGGAGCTCCCGCGCACGCGCAGTGAGGCCCGTCTGCCCGACCTTCAGCAGGGTTCCACCATGTTCTCCCGGGCGAGCGTTGCTGGGCTGTCGGTCTGGGCCTTGCAACCGCAATGGTACGGCAGGCTGCGGGAGGACCGAGAGGGGTGCGGGGGCTCTGGCCGGTGCGAGGCAGGAGGGATCGGGGCTGCAGGGCCGACGCCAGGCCGCGCCGGGCCCGGGCTCCTGCACACGTCCGGGTTCGGGCTGCGGGAAGCCGCCCCGGGGCGGGAAGGGCAAGTGCAAGGGCCCGCGCGGGGCCAAAGGGAGCAAGGTCACGGCATGGTCCCCCGAGAGTGGCACGGTCTTCCACACCCGCGTCCCATTGCATCGGGAATGTGGATCGCGTTCAGCCCCCGGCTTCCGGCTCCGAGTCTTGGAAAGCCTTTAGAAAGGTCCTCAAGGTGAAGGGGCAACCCGAGAAAAAGCCCAGGACGTGGTTAAGTGGTGCTTTTTGTCCTTGACGCCCTGTGAAACATCCCACTGCTGAGCAGCGTGACCCCCTAAAAGCCAGTTGTTCGCTGCGCGCTTGTGTCAGGCACCCGCTGTGTGTCCGTGCCAGGTTCTTTGCTGGCTACTGGAGAAACGGGGGAATCAAATTTGGTGCCTTGGTTGCAGAAGGGACATCAAAGATTTGTTGCAAAGGTATCTGGCTTTGTCATCATACCCTGAGGTGGAAGTTGTAAACCTGCAAGGTCATAAAACTGTCCCAAGGTCCCTCGGGAGGAGGAGACAGGTGGGCTTTAATAAAGTGACATTGGTGCTTTGTGGTTAAAGGGTGCTGTAAGTTTTCCGGACTTTAATTCTCCGGGCAGATAGGCACATTAGAATGCCTAGGAATGGCAGATGAAAATTGGTTTATGGTGCTTTACAATAGAATGAAATGCTTTGAAGAACTTTTTTTTTTTAGACAGTGCTGGGAGGATTATTAGCTATAGGCTGTGTGGTAATAATTCTTTGGTTTCCATCCGGAGATTTCTAAGTAGTTACAGCACTGAACTAGGTTTTTGTGTCCTAATTTATGGGACGGAAGTACCTACCAAGCATTAATTGAAACAGTCCTTGAAACAGTTTACAGCAATATGCAAGAGTTTCAGGGTAATGAAAAAAATCAAACATGTTGTGAACGAAATACATGTAGATTTTAGTGGATTAATCTTGGAAGGCAAGTTGTCTACCTAATATTGAAAAAGGTAATTACTGGGAAGTCACAGCAGTTGAATTCTCCCAAACGTTTGTGGAGTGCCTGTCTTGCACCCTCTGGCACCCTGCACAGGTTAAAATGTGAAGGTGAACAGATAATCTGTGAGCTTCCTGAGAAGTCTTGGCCTTCAGTGGTGCTCAGCAGACCCCTGCTCTTTCCATTCTCCCTCTTGCTGTGCATGTTATCTCTCAGTATTTTTAGAACCTGGAGTTAATACAGGGTAAAATGTTTTACATAAAATTCTAGGGCGTAGTTTTTATGAAACACATGTGAGATCATTTGAAGAGGTTTCAATATACGATTGCTTTAAATAAGACCTCTGGGTCTCATTGGGTCTCATAACTTCTGCTAGGAACCTAAACTAAAACTGTCTGCAAATACAGGTCATAACACTGGGCTTAACACCTTTGGAATGTTGAATTTAATGGGTAGGCTGAAGGTTCAGGGACCATCAGCAGTACACGATAGAATGCATAATCCCTTCTCTCTTCGAATATTCCATCCCTCTTGGTGCCTAATGTCTTTCCCACCTTTGGCCCTTGCTTTTCCCATTTTAGTTGTCTTTTGAATGCAGAAATTAAGACCTTAGGTTTTCATACACCACAGAATTGGGAAGAAGAGAAAAATTCCTTTACCCTCCTAGAACCATAAAGAAGTATGTCCTTGTCTCTGTTTTCATTGTTGAAAGCTTTAGAAAGTATAGTCTGTTGCTGTTACAGTTTCTGAATCAGAGAGGAATTTGAGAAAAGGAGTTCCTGATTTTTTTTTGCTATCTTCATATTTGAGATTTTTTTTTTCTTAGTGTTCGACATGCCCTAAAATGGAACTGTTCTATAGAGTTTTGGGGGACCGTAAATCGAGACTAGAAAGGCAGATTGTCTTCTTAACCATGAGCACACATCTACTGGTTAAGGTGGACTGGGAGACAGCCTGTGGTCTAACTATTCCTGACACTGCTGTTCCACCTGGCTGTGTGCAACCTTGAGCAAGTTATCTAGAGTCTGTGCCACTAGCTCCTTGACTTTTGAAACATAGTAATAGTCCATGATTAGCTGGATTAGTGTGAGGACTAGATGAGTATTTGCATGGTGGAGACATGCTGCTGTGGATCCAGTGTATGAACTGAAGCCATGGAAACAAGTTTATAAACATATTTTCTACATAAAATACATAAGAAAGTTATTCAGTCTGCCAAAGAAGGAAATGAATGCTGGATCATGGAGGGTGTGAGGTGTGTTAAAGCAGAATCTTGAGTTGATAAACTTAATGCCTTTTCTTGATAATTAGCTGATGCATCTAGTTTTTCCCCTTAATTTCTATACTATGCAACATTGCATACCCTTTGAAAGCCTTCCAAACTACAAGCTCGTGAAACACAGTCATTTCTGTCTCCTTGCTGTGCTGATGAGAAGTCTTCTAACTGTGCTGTATTGCCAAAGTAGATACTGGTAGGCTAGTCCTGGTTGTGTATGCCTTCAATCCCAGCACTTGAGGCAGAGGTAGGCAGATCTCTGAGTTCCAGGCCAGCCTGATTCTATAGCTTAGTTCCAGGCCAGCCAGAGTTACACAGTGAAAACCTGTCTCAAAAAAATGAAACAAAAAGTAGATGCTGGTAACTTAGCCACAAACTCCCTGAGTCTTTCCACTGTATTTGGTGCAGGTCAAGTTCCTCAAATAATCTTCAGTGGCTGTCTCAGGACATGATGCAGTGATTGAGAAATTTATCCTCTCAAAGCAAAATCTTGGTGTAAAACTTAGTACATCGAGCTTTCCCTAAGGAGCTCAAGCAGGTGAGATGGCTCAGCAGGTAAAAGCACTTGCTGCCCAAGCCCAAGGTACAACCTCAGTTTCATTCCGGGGACCCACAAATGAAGGAGAGAACTGACTCCCCAGATTTTTTGTCTGAAAAATCTCCATTCTCAAGCCTCACACTGTACACACAATTTTTTTTAAGTTCAAGCAGCTCCTGGCCATTTAGTGGTCAGCTCATTCTCGAAAGTAAAGTCCTGTAGACGGTCATCTTTAGCTAAGTGAAGGCTAAATAAGAGCACACCTGGTCATGCATACACACACATGTGGAAACACAAATACATGTTTAAACAAAAGGTTTGTATTTTGGATATGTCTTTTATCCAGAGATACATTTTTGTAAATTTTTATTAAATCCATCTTCGTTTTTCCTACAATGGATCATGCTTTTAGTATCCAAAACCTTATTGCCAAAGCCCAAGAGTTTTCTTTGTTACTTCTAGAAGTTTTATTGTTTGCCATTTCCCACTTAGGTCCTTGATCACTGTATTTTGTGACAGTAGATTGCACTTTAGCATTTTATATATAGTAACCCTTCTTCAAAGCCTGGTTGGTACTTTGTGTGCACTTCTGTGTTCTCTGTTTGGAAATATACAC